GCTGCAGAACTGAACCGCTCAGGAACAATTTACTACAAGAGCGTGCAATTGCTGGCCTATGCCGATGACATCGATATCATCGGTATTAAAAACCGCGAAGTCTGTTCTGCATTTTCCAAGTTGGATATGGAAGCAAAGCGAATGAGTCTGGTGGTAAAAGAGGACAAGACGAAGTATCTCCTGTCATCAAACAAACAGTCAGCACATTCGCGCCTTCGCACCCACGTCACTGTTGACAGTTATAATTTCGAGAAAGTAGAGAATTTCGTTTACTTGGGAACCAGCATTAACACCGATAATAATGTCAGCATTGAAATCCAACGCAGAATCACTCTTGCCAACAAGTGCTACTTTGGACTGAGTAGGCAATTCAGGAGTAAAGTCCTCTCTCGACGTACGAACACCACGCTCTATAAGTCACTCATCATGCCCGTGCTGGTATATGGCGCAGAAGCATGGACAATGACAACATAAGATGAGGCGGCTCTTGGAGTGTTCGAGAGAAAGATTTTGCGGAAGATTTACGGGCCTTTACGCGTTGGCGACGGCGAGTACCGCAAACGATGGAACGATGAGCTTTACAACGACGTGGACATAGTGCAGCGAATTAAAATACAGCGGCTCCGCTGGCTTGGCCATGTCGTTCGAATGGACACCGACGCTCCAGCTCTGAAAGTGTTCAACTCGGAATCCGCTGCCGGTAGCAGAGGAAGAGGGAGGCCCCCACTGCGATGGAAAGATCAGGTGGAGAAGGACTTGGCTTCACTTGGCGTCAGTTGGCACAGAAGAGAAACGACTGGCGTGCTTTGCTGAACTCGGCCAAAATCGCTTAGGCGGTTACAGCGCCAAAAAAGAAGAAGAAGAAGAAGAATTATCTCTATTTCAGTAGTAACCTCCTTTAGTAGTAGTTTTAGTAGTCATTTACATTTCATTAACCTGTGAGAAAATATTAAAAAAATCAAAAGAAGTTGTAATTTTTGTCTACGAAAGCTTTGATGCATAATTACTTTACACCAATCACAAGGAGATGTCCCACCAGTCACAACTTTAAATATTATACAAACTTTATTATATATAGATTATATAAACTTTATTTTTATTGAAACCGAAAGCGTATAATTCATATTTTACAACACAAATACATCGTTCGTGAAAATTAAGTGTTTTGGCTAAAATCCATCTTTGAGTGCACAAGGGTAAAATAGCGTTCTTTTCATTGTCCCACCAGTCACATTCATTAAAATGATAGTTACATAAAACTAAGAAATCGTTTGATATTTTTGTTAAAGCAATGTTATACATTAGTTATCGTTCTATGTTAAAAAATATATTTCCCTGTTGTATAAGTTCCGACGACATATGTAGTTAAAATTCACAATTGATCACATTCTGGACTAAAATGTCCCACTAGACACAATGGAATGACCCTTTACAACCATTTAATTTTAGTACGAAATCATTTGACAAAAAAAATTACCTATAATCTTTCCCAAATATTCATCCGAATATCTTCTCGGACAGCCAAACGGCCATTAAGGCACTCTCTTGAACCTCTGTTAGATCTCAACTAGTGGAGGACTGTAGGAGTGAGCTGGTCTATATCTCTAATCAATACGAAATCACCCTAATATGGGTCCCGGGACATAGAGACATTTATGGAAACGAGTAGCCGACGAACTAGCAAGGTGCGGCACTGAATGTGTCCCACGCAAAAATTACCGAAATTTATCACTTGAAGGCCAAGCAGAGGCGGGTCCGTACAGGATCGTAGAGAATTACTCGGCAGTTATCGGCGTTCTACGACCCACATAAAAGCAAACCTCTCCTAGGGTACTGGCCCGTTGGCGTACATGCCAAAAAGATTGGATTGCCCTTCAACAGGTTCTGTCCCAGGTGCGATGACCCTCGCTCAAAAGAGACAGTAGAACATTTCCTGTGCGAGTGTCCAGCCCTCACAAGGACGACTCTGAAGACACTCGGCAAGCCATTATTGCAGAATGTTTTAGAGTCCACCTGTCTCTCTCTGTATGACGTACTGAAATTCATTAAAGCCACCAAATGGG